GTTAGATGAGAGCTCTCCACTATGTCGGTTCCATCTCTCTTCACATTACTCCACTTTTCTATAAAAGTATTTATCTCTTCCGATGTACCTCCTTTTGCTCTATTCGATGATAATTGGCGAACTTCTCGTATACGTCGTTGCAACTGCCTTTCGGGCTTCAATCTTCGCTGGAAATGAATGTCTGGAACACTATAAGTCTGCAGCACCATCCTCTCTATCTTCTCCTCGAAGATTTGCCTGGCTCGCACGAGTCTGGAACACTGCCGGTGCTCAATAATGGCATTCTGAAATATCCAGAATTACGCGGCCTTCAACGCAGAACACTAGGTCGTTTTCGTCATCTCATTGGGAACGATCCATATCACCTCCTGTTTGTCTTCTTCCTGAACCAGGTGTTGCCAATGTACATATCTTTCGTCTGTGTCATGGTCATCAGTCGATCTCTTCCCTCATTTCGCACTCAGGTACTCATCATATTGATAAATCTTTCTCCGGCAGTTCCTCCTCCGACTTTGACACTTAAATCTCCTTTGACGATGGCATAAATGCACCTTAGAACCAATGCCTGTTGTAATTCTTGGTAAAATTCTTCCACTTTCTCCTCGTCAGCTGTGCTTATGGGAGGATAGGATTGGACGATCTTCAGGGCCCTCTTCTTGCTCTGTTAGGGACGTAGCACGCCAGTCTTGGTTACTTCACACAGAAGGAGACGGTTTAGGGGACTAGCTTATGTTGACTAAACATCTGATTCCTCCTATTTCTTCCCGCCTTCGTCTCTTCTTAGCCAAACTGAACTACCGTCTTTGCAAATGCCATTCATGTTCTTCCATTGTCATGTCTCACAGAGGCCGAGGATATAGCAGGCCGTTCCTGAATGTTTCCCCATCGATTGGTTTAATTTTTCTTCCCTTGCCAGTGTTCTACAGTAATAGGTGGAAGGACGAAAAAAATCTGGATTTGTTCAGGAAATGGGGGCCTTTCATCTGGAATTCATAGCAGGCTTTCGTCAATGGAACACCATAAAATCGCCGCCGTCAGAGATGCACAGGACACTGAGGCCAATTTATTTGTATTGTCATAGCGCATGAAGTTCTGCCACCAGCTTACGGGGCTGACGATGGCCTGCGTAATTTTGTTTAGACTGCCGCCCAATTCCACCTGTTCTTATGGAAGTTTTGCCTTCTAGGGTTTAATGAACCGAGTTCACTAAACGCAAGGCACCTGTAGCATTGACTGCCCCCTGCTTATTCAAAGGGTTTGATCATTTTTGTACAGGCATGAGACTTTCATTGGCCATTGTGATTTTTCTTCTAAAAGACGATCCTGTTGAGCACAAACCCTGTCCATGTATGGTCTCACCGGTGCTTGTCCACAACTATATCATTTGCAACCAACCTACATATCTGGATGCCGTTCCCCTATCCGCAACGCGGGAATGCGTCAGATGGCCAACAGCCAGGCACACTGAAAGTTTATACTACGTTGATGACTTGCTTTTATTACACTACTACTCTCGAGTTACTTCTTCGTGTATTCTTTACTTTTAATAAACACCGTGTGTGGTGCAAAATGCTTGTAACGTATGGAATTTAATAAACGTGTATTGTCATTTGAAAATGTCTAAGATGAACTCTCTGAGTATGTGACTTTCCAGTCTCCATTACTTCCAGAGTTAAAGTGTTCAGATTCAATCTCTGTGACGTTCAAATGCCAATGAAATTTTTCTGTTACCATGGCAAGCTTCAGATATGTTTCTTGCTTGGAACCGAATGACAACGGTGAAGGTATATGTTTACAAAGCAACAGACCAAAACCGATTCCAAATCAGACACAATCTGACAGCTAGACTTCAGCTCTGTGTTTCTTTAGCATTTTTGATAGGCATACTTTGAGGAGAAGCATCACGTAGCACGATGAGAATGACATGATGCTGAAACAGGCACGAAGTATAAGACACTTGACAACGTATTATAAGAATTTAAGCTGTTCCGTTTGCCTGAAAGTCTCGACAGTAAATGTGAACAGAAGCGAAAACAGTGCAAACGAAAAGTGACCATGAATAACTTGGGTGGAAAGTTCAGCAATTTAAATTTTTTATTATGATTATCTTATTATGCTAATAATGAAGATATAGACAATTAAACAGAAGATAGCAATATTCCTCACATTTTTTAAAGATCTCTAAATCTGGTGACCAAAAGGACTATATCGACCGTGATGAAATATATTATTTCACAGCAGTTAGACGTATTTTGCTTTAAGGCAAGAACGCTGATTTTACATGGAAGTACACTAGTTTTTACTCATTACTTTCCAATGGCATTAATCATGGTGTAACGCAAAACGCATTCTGCAGTCAAATATTAAAACACCTCAGTAAAAAAGATGTTATGATACTTATGACCTAGAGAACGTTTCGAAATTGTTGAGGTAAGAAATGGGTATTACCCGGTTAGACATTATCCACCCTATTTTAAGCCATTACTTGCTAATGCCTCGCTAATCAAAAGATTGACATACGTGAAATACAAGTGAAAGTGTGATAGCAGCGAAAAGTATATTCAACGAAAGCCGGTCACGTCACTCTGTAGATATGCTGAGGCGGCGTCCAGTTTACGTTCTTGCTTCAAAAAGATTTTTTATGGCCTCTTTTAATCTCTGATCATTTCCCTCACTAGCGATCCAACCTCTGTGAGTACGCATGTATTACTTTTCTTTGAGTAATTGAACAAACTTGGTTAGTTGTTGCTTGTTTCTTATATCACTCGTGATGACTACGTACTTTTAGGCCGTGAAGTATTCCTGCCCCCATGTGGTGTTGTTTCTGGTTGCAGCCGCGTATACCATCATCGGCGCCCAAATCTTCTATCTAATAGAAAGGCCGAACGAGAACAGCTGGAAATACCAAGGAAGACAGATTATCCACGCTGAGATAAACAAGTTCGTGATGTACATAATGGCCATGAAAACCACCGATGCGCAATATCTGGTTGAACAGGACTTCCTTGTTGACGTGGAACGCAAAGTCATGGCGATAGTGAAGAAAACACATAGCGTAGCAAAGCAGCATTTTCTGGACTCTCAAGATTTTGATTCCTTGAACGACACGTTGACAGAAAAACGCTGGACGTACGCTTCATCACTTTTGTTCGCTTTTACGTTAATCACCACTATAGGTATGTACTGAAAAGACAATAACTGAGTCACGTTTAATTAACTTATATGTTGCATAGTGTACTTTGGATAATTTCGTTTAGGGTTTTGCTTTAAAATGATTTACCACGATTCTCCTCCCCCGTAAGATGAGAAATTGTTCCAGTGGAAAAATGGTTAAGCCCATTTTCCAAGGAGAATCTTGCACAGGCCAAGCTTCAGAGAGCCGTCATTTAGAAACTCACTTTATCAGAGTAAAGGGTTGATGAATGCCCTGCCCAAGGTGCCTGGCGAACTTGAAAGTAGCCAAAATCGAATAAAATTGTAAGTCCAAATAAAATTGTTCCCAGTATGCGACTTTCAGCTAGAGTCGGACCGCATCACATGACGGCAGATAACCCATGGACTTCAGCAGTAAGATTTGTACCCAAGGGGCTGCAAAAATCCAATTGAAAGAACCTCGGCTCAAGTAAAATGATAAACTAAAATCTGACAGAGGTAAGGAATCCTGTAGTGACAAATGGCATGAAACAGATATAATCAAGATGTAGCAGTGGTGATCCCGTTAAATACCAATAGAACGGTTAATTGTTGTATAATGATTTTAAATGATTTAATAGTTCAAAAGTCACTGAATTAAATTCTCCGATAGTGAAATATTTCATTAGAATTAGTTATACACTGTTTGGACGCGTTAAGGTGGAGCTAAATGTGATTTGCTTACGAAACCCTAATTCTTCGTCAACGTAGTTTATGAACAATTTACCTTACACGGTTCTACCTTTCACAAAATGATGGACGGTTTATGAGAAGTCGTGTTCTGCATTGCGCCTTTAAACGACAGGGTTTATTTTGATTGAAATTTTGTTAACTACTTATCCTTTTTCCTCATCTTCCTCTAATGTAAGTAATGTGATACGCATGCGGTTCTGATAAACTTAGTATAAATTGCATTTAGGCTATGGAAATTTAACGCCGGTAACATTTTATGGACGTTTATTTTGCATAATATATGGAATAGTTGGAATACCACTTGCCATGCTGACCATCGCCAATTTGGGAAGGTTTCTGCTGGACGCAGTGCTGGTGGCAGAAACTTGGATCGTCAGGTTCTGTAAAGAAATGTTACAGAAATCGAGCACACCTGATTCATTTGATAGGCGCAAAAATTCTACTTGTTTGTACAAAACCACCGATGGTTCAAAGACTTCGGTCTTGTCAACAGTTGGAGCGATCGTCGTCTTTTTGTCTACTATTGGCATCGGGGCAGCATGCCTACCGCTGTGGGAAGAAATGGACTTCTTTACGGCGTTGTATTTCAGCTTCGTCACTGTCACCACTATAGGATTTGGTGACATCGTTCCGAAGAACTACAACTACCTGTTTCCTACGCTGTTCTACATCATCGCTGGCTTGACACT